GAGGTCTCATGAGGCATGCAGCAAGCCCTTGAAATGAGGTTTCCCTATTAACAGCGTAGAATGGATTTATTGCTGGATTGAGAACCCTGGGAACTGGTCATGCTGTGCAGAACAATTTCAAAAATCTCTAAAAACTAAAGCAGGGAAAGTTTTCCACCTATTGCTTCATTAGTGTGGCTTGGCCTGATCATCTGAAATGATGGCTATAGGTAGAATATTGTAGTTTCTGGGGCCATTTAGTTCTTGGATGTCCTACTGAAAGGACGCTTATAGTGATGGCTATTGTGATGTGCAAGGCTATCAATAATCTGGTCTGTCTATATTCTATCCTACTGTTTAAGTCAGTCTTTATGATTTCTCAGTAATTTATTACAGTAGACAAATGGATACCAACTACAGGATGTATGTTTTCAATTGCTCTTTGCTTGAGACAGCATTACCTATCTAAAAAATGACAGCTTTTTATTCCACTATCTGTTCATTTTGATTCACTAGTTTCTGAGCCTACCCTTTAAAATTGTACTATTTGGCCTTGGCAATGGAAGAAACAAATAGTTTCAGCCGTGTTTCTATTCCTAGCTTTTCTGCCTCGTCTCGTTTTTCTTTTTTTTTTTTTTTTTTCCTACCCAAGTTTTCCATGTGGAGAATTTACAATCATTAAAAATGAATGGCTCATTGTGGATTAAAAAGAAGTAGACAGTGAATAATCATTTTCTATTCCTTTCTTACAGATTGTGTAGGAACCACTTATGTCTGCTTTTGTTGATATAAAATTAAGCTTGCCTAGGGGTTTGCGTCATTAGATGTTTTCAGCACTAGTTTCCTATTAATCAAAGTATCAGGTTGCCACTGGTTGGTGTTGAAAATAAAGTAGTTTTTTTGGTGGTGATGCCTAAGCATGGGTGTACATGATTAATTATTTTTGGTTTGTTTTCATGGAACAAAAATATGAATACATATAAATCATATCTCTCAAAGGATATATATGGCAATATAAATGATAAAATAATATCTGTATGTGTGTAAAGAAATGCAAGATGATGTGACTTAAATGATTGGTCAGACATGGTAAGTGTAAAAAGGATGTAGGAAGCAAACAGTTGCAATTAGGTGTACTCCAGGGAAATAGCCAATGAACCTTATGGGTCCCTTCCAACTTGAGAACTTGGCAAACACATTGATTAAATATATTTTTAATTCATTTTAAGATTGAGCTGCTTATGTAGAAAAATAATCTCATGGCCTGAATTCATGGATACCTGAGCCTGGATTCAAGTCTCCTGCCATGGGGTGTCCAAATGAAGATTAGAAATCGGAGTGTTATTTTTCTATCATGACAGACAGTTAGGCGCATCCCAGGATGCCTGATGGAGTGGTAAAAACTGAAATGGAGTTAATCTGGAAGAAAACACTTCAGACTTCTAAACTCTGGTATCAATTTTGTCATAGTTCAGCTGCAACAACTGCTAAAAATGTAACATTTAGTCAAAACTTCAATTGTTTATAGTTTTATTTCTTTTCAGACCTACCTATTTATTTTCCACAATAGATTCTCCTGTGGTGAGTGGAAACAGTGGCCTTTTGGATCAACTGACAGCTTTGAAGTGGGTGCAGCAGAACATTGCTAGCTTTGGAGGAGATCCAAGCCAGGTTTCTTTAGGAGCTGACCGTGGTGGAGCAGATATTACCAGCATTCACCTGTTTACAGAAACAGTGGATATGGACCTCTTCAGGAGGGTGTTGTTGATGGTAAGTCCCATTCCTGCTACTTCAACTTAATTGTGAAAGGATGTTGTTGCAGACGTGAGGATGTTGCAGTGTGTGGGTGCTGCTTTTATTTCATCCATACCTTGGCATCATCCATACCTTGGCAGCACTAATAGGGCTGTTATTGCTATAGTTACTTTTCATCTCACCTGTGACTGCTATCTCCAGGACTGGGGTGCTTCACAAGGATGTGCAAGAGATGCATTTTGGTGATTGATTTAGTCATAGTAAGAATCTGGTTTTCGTCACTGTGGTTTTTTGTATATTATATAAATAATCTTGTTTCATAACTTATAGGTACAACAGGTTAGTTTCCATTCCATAAATACAGTTGTTGATCAGCAGTTTTGAGACTCTAAAACTGATGAGCCAAACATCCGCATGTTTAAAGTATCCAATCTTTTTATCTGATCTCATGATAGATTTCATTTAAAAGAAAAAGCAAGTTTCAGAGAGAGAGTAAAAACCCGCTTACCCACGGTCTTGTTTGCTGTCAGCTTGAACCATTTTCAGTCACCCCAAGTGGTCTGTGTTTTTACAGCTCTTCCCATGTTGAATCTTAGGACTTACTCTGGGATCAGCTTTCTCAGAGTTGATATTACCATTACTGATCTTTAGAGCCTCAGATGAGAGTAGTGTGCTCTGAAACAAGGCTTAATCTTCAGCGTAGGTTTACATATATGGCAGAAATGGTACTTGGGCAAAATGATATCTCTGCTAGCAGTGTTGTCTTGGACCAGTTAACAGGATTCTTGGTCCAGGAAACTTAGGGCCCAATTAAATAAAATCTTGCCTTGGAAATAATGACATCTCTATTCACTACTTGATTTTTCCTCAGTGTGCCTTTGCTACAGGAAACGTAACTTGCCTTTTGCATCTCCATGTCTCAATAAGATTTTTTTAATTGTATCATTCTGAAGGGGAAGGCAAGGGAAGTTGTTGAAAATTGCTGTTCAGTAGTTATTTTTTTCTGTCATTCTCAGATAATCCCTCACATAGTTCCTAGATTTTTACTCAGCTCTTGACACAGCAATTAATTTGCTAGTAGACCCAGAGTCCTTTTCTCTCAGAATAAAGCTTCATCCTACTTTTTCTCTAAAGTAACAAACCCTTTAGTAACATGGCTCAGGATGGGGCCCTGTGAAAGCTGTAACAAGATACAGTGCAAATTACTAGTTGAGCAATTTATGAAGGGGAAGTGCAAGAACCTCTTTTCTTATTATTTCTGGAGTGTAGTTCCACATTACATCTTTTTTTGTTTTGTTTTATATATATATATATAAAATAAACTTTCAACTCCTTTCTCCTACAACAGGACATCAAATAATGGAAAACAGTGGCAAGTGCAATGAGCAATCAGGTGCATAAATTCTTCCCACCAATTTAGTGTTTGTTACAATAATTTTCTTCCTGGGACTGTGCAGACTACTGTCTTGGCAACAACAGGGTATCCACTTATTTCAAAGTAATGTTAACTATTTAACCTTACAGTGTCATGGTGGATTTAGTTTTCTTGTGAAATACACTGATTTAAAAAAAAAAAAGAAAGCAGTGAAAGCAATGGCTTAAAAATTTACTTTATCTTTTTTTTTTTTTTTTTTCCTTTGTAATGAAGTGGTGCAGAATGCAACTGCTGGTTTACTCTCATTTCTCATCTAGACCTCCTGTAAAGCAATGTATCTTGTTTTTGTTCCAGGACACCAAAATCATTGTGTATTTTTAATTTGACTGTAAAGAAGTGCACACTAACTAAGAATCATGAAACTGAGATAACAGACCAGATGTAGCTTTCCTGAGGGAAAATCCCATGAAACAATACCACTTTTCTGCAAAACTTAGCTTTGTACTCCTTGTTTGGGTCTTTGTTATGCATAAAAAATTGATACTGTTTCTTAGCATGCAGAGAGGTATGATGCATGAAACTTTCTCTACAAGAAGATGTGCATCTGAAATAGCAAAATGCTTTTGAGTTTCCTATGCCCTTTAATAGATTTTGTTTGGAACAGATCTGAAAAATGATTGTACAAAATCAATGTAAAGCTGTCATGAGGACTTTTTATAACTTATTTCATCTTTCAGTAGTAAGATTAGAAAAAAGTAGTCTCAGTGACTATTGTTTTGTTTTAAATAATTTAAGAACATTAACCTGGTGTTTGACTTAATCTTTTGATTAATTGATTTATTTGCCAGTACAGTTTTGATGCAGAAGAGTGGATCAATGGTATAGATTGCCTCCATCTCTTTCAGGAGGCTGTGGAGGGCAGATAAGTTAGGTGTCCCCTCCAGGCATTCCCTGGTAGGTGTCAGGAGGAGAGCTCCGAGGCTTCCCCCACTCAATGCAAGGGAAGACACCAGGTCCTGCCTGGCCATGGAAGCCGGTCAGTTAATGGTGGAAAGAGCAGTTTTATTGCCCTACTGAAAACTACTTGCAGTCAGGTGCACAGCTGTCTAACATGGACCCTAAATATCTCTGATCCTATGACTAGTTACCCTTTAGATACCCTTTCTTCCCTCTTTTCCAATCTCATTTTTTCCCCCTTTACCAACCTCATTCCCTCTCAGATAAACCAAACACCTCTGATTATTTTTTCTCCGTCGGTCCCAGTTTTGCTACATCCCTAGGCACATTTGATATTTGTCATTTTGTTTCTTTGGTAATTTCAGATTTGTATAGAATCACCTCGGTGCTGTTGGCTCTTACAATACTGTGCTTCACAAAAGTTCCCCAATATAGTCTTTCGGTTATTTGTGAGAAATGGATAGACCTCACAGAACTCCCCCATAATCATGTGACATCCGACCATTCCTTATGGCACAGTTAATAAGTTTTTGTCACCTTCTCATGTCATTACTGTGAGGGTGACTGAGTACTGGAACAGGTTGCCCAGGGAAGTTGTAGAGTCTCCAACCCTGGAGATAGTCAAAAGCCATCTGGACACAGTCTTGGGAAACCAGCTCTAGGTGGCCCTACCTGAGCAAGGGGGGTTGCACCAGGTGACCTCCAGAGGACCCTTCCAACCTGAACTAGTCTGTGATTGTGTGAACTTGTTGTCATCAGAACATGTCTTATCCCCTTCTTACAGAGCATGTACCCAGTGCTGCCCAGTTACATGGGTTCTTGGATTCTTCTGTCGCATTCTGTCTGATACCTGCTGGCAGTGTCATTGCAAGACTGGGTGTTTGTACTAGTTGCACACTAGGTTTTCCATTTTCTAAAAGCAATACAACGTGACTACTGGATATTATTTTAATGAATAAATACAAGTCATGACTTAGAAATCTATAATGTTCCCCATGTACTTTTCACTGGATAAGATGCAGTCACCATAACATATTAATGATCACTAACAGTAAGGAGATTATACAAATGCCTGGAGCTCCTGAGTTCATTTTGCTTTGTGGTGTTCAAAGTTTACCAGCCAAATTACATTCATCCTTTAAGTTCTGAAATCTATTGAAATAGGCTGTGACCTATTTTGATTTGTGAATCTCTTGCTAGTGCAAATGATCTGTTACAAGGTCTAAAGAGGACACAGATTTGTGTTAAGAGGTATTTACAAAGGAAATTATATATATATGTAAAACTCCAATTCCTTATCTCTCCAAACTTTCATTACTCAAATCTGTGCAAAAAGTATGACAGAATATTAGATTGAAAAGGTCTTTCCTTGAGATCATGGATTGCAGCATTTTACACCCCTAGATGTGAGTGACTAGATTAGAAAGCAATCACAAATCAGGCTCAAATGACGATGTTAGCTGCTCGTTTATCACTTAGCAAAGGGTAAATATATAGAGAAAAATTTTCTAACTCATGAAATTTCAGATAACCCAGTTACAATTCTTTAAGCAGTTTGATGAGATGTGTCATTACTATTTGACATAACTCTCTTCAGACAAGAAATTCGGAAAACTAACATCCACTGTTGCTGATTAGCTCTCTTAGTTTAATTATTTTAAAAAGCTGCTATTAATATAAATATTATACATAAATACGGGAGTTTCTTCAGAAGATGAGGAAAAAATCTGGTCCTCCACACACAAAAGGTCACACCTTTGCAGTTAGGCGTGATATTACCACATTTTACTTTTCACTTAAGAACCCCTTTGTTCTCTGTTGTGTATCTGGTAGACTATGAGCAGCTGAGTTATGCTTTTGGATATGCTTGTAATCCCAGATCAGGGCTCAACAGGAACTGCTTTTGTCAGCGAATTAATCCTGTTCTTAATTTTGTGACCACTTTATGACACTGCAGACCATTACCAGCAGTTGAATTAAAAGCCACTTGGAAAGTCAGTGATTTTAATTTTTTCTCCTAAAAGGTAAAAATGACAGAATTATGGAGTCAATATTATCAGGTGTTTCTTGGATGCCAGATGTTAGATACTTTCTTAGGGTTATTGAGGACTTTCTGACCCATTGTCAATGACAATTCATGATTCTATATCAAGAAGAAAAAGGCTCTTTTTCTCAGTGAAAATAGGTTCTGTAAAGATAGTTTTCAGTCTTGTGAACAATACCAGAGTAAGACTTAAATTAAGTTCTTGAGCTATGTTTAGTTCTTCCCTATGCAATCACCTTTGTACAATGGTGGGCATCGCCCTTGCTGAAGACTCATCTGCCTCACTTTGACTTAGAGTCCACCTCAGTTTATCCTGCTTGTGAGCACATTCTAATTTCAGGTGAACTGGGTACACTCTCAACATACGACAGGACTGAGATAGCACCCTTAAAAAGGTCTCTGGTAGACTTTCAGAAGAGGAAATGCAGAAGCATTGGCAGAATTTGTTCACCAGCAGGTGTGCTTGTATCTCTCAGCTGTTGAAGGACTGCAGGATCACAGGATGCTCTGGGTTCCTCTTCTAACCCCTTAGTTGTTTTGTTTTGTTTTGTTTTGTTTTTTTCCCCTGGATGTCTTACATTTAGTCTTCATAGTATGTAGGTGGCAAGTGAAGGGTACTCTTATGTTTGCTCCCTGTGTATATTAGGGATTGGGCTTTCTTCTTTCTGGCATTTGAAAAAGAACTGTTGTCATCCCCTGTTAAAGAGAGGTAGGAAGCAATACTTTCCCTCAGGCCATAGCTGAGACAAGAATCATCCATTGCTGCCAGGGTGCTTTCAGTATCTTCAGTCATCTCCAGCCTTTAAAAGAAAAAAAATTTTGTTATCATTTCAGCTACTTGCATTGAGCCTATTAGTATAATATTAACAGTTGTTAAATCAAATGATTTTAGTTTTGTTATATAAAAAATTTCCTGTCTCATAAATCACCAAACATTTCTGTCACTTAGCGATTTTCCGAAGCAATCTGTACAACAGTAAAATCTAAGTATTTTTCAGCATCTGAAAGGAAAATAACAAGTATATACTTTCTCTCTTTCTTCCTAATCTGTAGGAAAAATGGCCTCAATACTGCACAAGATTTGCTTGCATTTGTAAACAAATGAATATACTTTGTGAAGGAAGGGTAGTGGAGGGAAATTTACACTTCAAATATAAGAGGTGCTTTTGTTTCTGAAGGTGGCTCTTTCACCAGCTTCTGAAACCTGACCTACTTTTTCTAGTTGCAGTCATGATATCAGAAATCTCATGAACCTCGAGTTGACCTGTGTATTGGGAGAGACAACAGGACAGATTTATGCTAAATTAATGTGACACTGCACCTGTGCTGCTTCATGGATGGCCACCATGTGAACAAGGGGGAGCCAGTTCTGGCTATCAGGGTCACCTGTAAGCCATTGCTCATTAGTGTGCCTTTGGTGGTGGATCTGACTAGGCTTTACAGCCTGGATCTCACTACTGCCTTCCTGGTGGAGAGGACTCGTGAATCCCAAAGGAATTGCATATGTGGCCACACTCTTAGCTGGATAGGAGAAATGATTGAACATTAACCATAGTTCCTTTCAAAGTTAGATCAAGAGTATCAGTTAGAAAGCCGGACAGAGAGTTTTCATGGGTTAACCTGCTGTCAACAGCTTCGAAGATTGTCTAACCTTTAAATCTGGTCTCAGGAGAAGGGAATGGCTGTTTCGTCTGTGTTCTAAGTGGAAGTATATACAAGGCTGGGAAAAAACTTTGTTGTTTCTAGCAGCCTGTGTTGTATGTGGTACCTGTGAATATTTCTCCAGTTGAAGTTTTTGTTCCGCATCACCACAGGAGGAACTTGATTCGTTACGCTGTTGTTGTTAGTGCACTGGGTAAGACAAGGTGTTGTAAGGACACAGCAGAGACCATCAGCAACTTCTGAACAGGGAAATGAATACACAGACAGTTAATCTTTGTTAACTGTTATCTTCACTGTTTTCCTTCCCTGATGCAAGCTCAAATAAACAATTTTGGACACAGCAGTAGTAGCCAATAAACTGTGTGTTCTCAGCAAGGACACTGTAACACAGGCTTAGCTTTTTCCTTTCCTCATATCTCTGGCTTTTAATTTATCATGGGGCATATTTCCCCCAGTACAAGTGAGGAACTGAGACATGGAAAGATAAAGTGACTTGCCCAAAGTCTGGGAGGAAGTTTATGACAGACCAGGCACTTAAACCCAGGTTTTCTGAGTCCTCAGTGGGTTCTGCTTTTGCCTCCCATCATCTCAGCCATGCACAGAGAGGGTAAAATGGATGAAAGATGGAGCCACTCAGGTTGAATTGCTTGTGCACCTATTCTGCTATGGAACATGGCTATGGAATGAATCAAGGTTCACATGATACTTTCATCTATGTTTCTTCTTCCTATCCTCTTCTCCTTGCTCCACGAGGAACATTGCATATGTTCTTCTGCCTGAGTAGAGAACATCGTGGTTTGAATGCTGGTGTTTTACATCTCTGAGCCTTAATTCAGGGTGAGATTCTGTATCACCTCATTGTGGGGGAGGTAGGAGAGCTAAATCTCACTATGTATCCTCTTACACCTATAACTGAAGTAAAATTGTTAATTGTTATAAACTTTGAGTTCCTCCTCATTCTGAATTTTAGGCTTCAATTATTTGTTTCTTTCTAAGTGGAGGAAGGTATCCGCTAACTAAAGTGTAAAAAAAAAAAAAAATAAAAAAAAATCCTATCCAAATTCTCACTCCTCTGTTTATATCATTAGACTTGAAAGTTTCTTTTGCGTGTTTTTAATGTGAATATGGCTTTTCTTCCCAATTTATCAGAGTACTCTTTGGCCAACACACTTTTTCATTTACCGGTGAAATATGCATATATTGTAGCTTCACAGTTTTAAAATTGCCAAGTATCCACTAATTAAAGCACTGAACCTATTGTTCTTTTGTGACTTTTATACAATTAACTTACTACAATCTTCCTCTTTTTAAAATGTTGTCATTTTAATGCATGGTAACTGCAGCTACTTAATTGTTTCATTTTTCAAGTTATCTCTCTGACACAGGTTAGATTGCCATAAATCTGGAAAACTATCACTGAAACAGGTGTTATCGACTGTACTGATATTAGTAAAAATGACAGCTGAATCTAGATTTGAGCTACAGCTTGAGCCTCTTGAGATAACTTTGGCTGATAAAATCCAGCCATGCTCTTCTAAAGTAATAGGGAAGAAACTAAGAACATTTCTGAGAATTTTCTGCTGCAGACAAGGTTGTGTGATGTAGTGGTTCCTAAGAGAAGTATGATTGCAGAACCTGATCTTGCATGTTCTGATGTTATCTGTCTATATGGTAAATAAATAAATGGTAGACATGTCCACACTGGTAAACAAAGTGATCCAGGAGTTGAACAATGACCCTGAGACCCAGAACAATGACTTACACCTGTAGAGCTTAACATTTTTGTACACCCAGACTTTGACTTTACCTGTTCTTTGAGAGGGGCTTGGCACCCCTGGCCTGTGCTGACCTTCAAATTATATTTGAAAGTTGTCTAGGGAAGTGTTTGACACTAGTCTTTGGACCAAATAGTGTTATTGACATGTCCATACAATATCATATATGAATATGGGAAGAACCTATCTGTCTTTGTTGAGCTGAGTTCTGGGACCGATTTCAGTTGTACTGTTAAGGGTAGGATATTTGTATTTAGGAGCAAAAATAAAGTAAAAGATACAAATCAAGAGTTTTTCCATTACTTATTCTGTGGCAGTAGTTGCAAGTCTCAGACATAGGCAAAACTTCTTGTTCTGGACCTTTGATAGATAGTTCCACAGTTGTCAGTGGAAAATATGTTTATTCTGCAGTTCTTTTTACCTGAGTAGTGATTCACGAGGTCTTCAAGGCACTGAAAGGTTTGCCGTGGAGAGATGTAATACCAGTTATTTGGAAGGCGGAAGATCCTGTAATGTTTCACTTGCCTGTGCCGCACTGACAATGAATATAACCCTGGAGAAAGAGGACAACTAATCACACCAATGTAGGGCCTGATTCTGGATGGATAGCAGTGACCACAACCAGAGCATCTGTAAGATGTGGTGTCATGATCCAAAAGGTCCCAGAAAGATCTGAAAAAAACAAACTGAGTAGCTATCCCAATTTCTACTAATATAGTATACTTTATATATATATACTTAAGTATAACAAAGGGACCAGAGGACCCAACATCAGGGCCTGAGACTTTGTTTGAATTTAAATTTCTGGTGTTTTTTCCTTTTTTTTTTTTTTCTGGTATGGGATTTTTTGAAAAGGTGTAAAGGAAATAGGCCTTTACAGAAGTTGTTTGACTTCTCCTGAAGAGGGAGACCAGACTCATGTGCTGGTATGTCAATGTAGTTGGCTTCAAATAATGCAATAGCTGATACCTGATAATTCAATCTTGTCAAGAGATGACAACTTGGATTTTTCTGTTTCTTTGTTTAAAACTACTGTGCAGCGTTTAGTTGGTAAGGACTGAATATTGATCCTAAATTTCTTTTAATTTAGTATAGGTAATATGAAACTAATTGTCGTGTGGTATGCAAGACATCAGAGTAGATGATTTATTATTCCCTTCTAACTGTAATATCATGATACTAGGATATGTTCTGATGCTTTGGAAAAAGGGAAGATATCATGTTACATAATGGGACATACATTCCCATTGAAGAGAATAAAAGTATAAAGTGTGTACAGTACAATTCCCACGTAGCAACAGAATTGTTATGAAAGAAAATAAAACTGAAGGCACGTCATTTTTAAAAAATAAATAAAAGAACCACCTGTTTATATAGGAAATACACTTACTAGCCACCCTCACTGCTTAGTGTGTGTTTTATAGCTTCTTCAGGCAATCTTTTGTGGACCAAGACAAAGCTGTCACTTTTCCTCCATTTGAAAAGTCCCACTGCCTAACAATCTTTGCAAGCGACCAAAGTAAATAACAGTGTTTAAACAACTGTGTCTTGTTTGTGCTGATGTCTGTGGAACTTTCCATGGCCATTGCTAACCCTGTTTCTAGCACCGCTTGTAACGTAGGTGACTGGTGAAGACTGGCATGCTGCACTGGGTGCCTTTGCTTTCTCATTACATATATTTTCTGGTTTTGGATTGATCCATATGAAGCAGGACAGGGAGTGAATTAAAGAGCTGTAAAACTGTTGATGCCTGAGATCAAGGGGGAAAAAAATTGTATTTTCTCACCTTTCCTAGTTTCACTCTCTCTGATCATGAAGGAGCCGACCTTGGTGTTGGGTAGCTGTAGAAGTTCCTCTGCTTTTTCTCTTCCCAGCCCTTCAAATAACCAGCTGTGAAGCAGGAAAAAACAAGTCCCGAAATTTGGACACCAGTGAAACAGAGAGCAGCATGTGGCCATAAAAGTGCAGCATTAGCCAGGAAAAGTGACTGCAAAAATAACACTGTGGCTTTCTGTAGTTATTCTCTCAACTATGTTCAGGCATATTTCCCCAGGTTATAGAGAAAATCTTGCTCTCTTTGAGATCCATTAACTTTTGTGAGACTAAGAGAAGAGTGAATAAGGCTTGGACTTTTTAGAGAAAACAACTTTTCAATCTGCCTTGATCTGAATTGTTGGGGACATACCCATGTGGTATATTGTTGGTGTATCTGTGGCATTAGTTAAATCTCTCTTTTTCATTTAAACCACTTTTATTAGCCCCAAATTGTATTTTATTATATCATAAATAAACCTAAAATGAAATACAATTATTCTGCTTATGCTAGGGAACAGTCCAGATATTGAAGTTAATGGGTTTAGTGGATAAGGGAAAGTGGAATTAGTCCTACTGATTTTCACCATATCTTGGTGCACTGCTGTATTTTCCATGGCTAGTATCTAATCTTGTAAGTGACCTTGCTTGGCTGGTGTAGGAGCTACTGATATTTTATTTTAAAGTTGTTCTTGTTTGTTTGATCCAGTCTACTATCAGTAAAACGGTCTTGGGGAAGCTTCAGACAGTAGCTTCCATTACCATATCTGTGCCCTGTCTTTGGGAAAGCATCTCTATTTCAGAAGGATATAAAAGCATATTAAAATGTAAGCACTTGCATAAATTGCAGTCAAGTTCACAGTTCATATGCTTAAAATTAAACAGGTATTAAAACTTTTGCCAGAAAAGTTTTAAGTGTCTGCTTTAATGTGTTTTTCCTGACTGGTGTCTAGGGCAACAAGAAACCTCTGAACCTTCCTTAGCTCTTCCAGTGTGAGAGTTTACATTCTTGAATTACTTATTAGTCTTTCTGTTTTTTCTTTTTGGTATGTTTTTCATGAGCAACTCTAGCTTAAATTTTAGTCTTTGTAAATATTAAAAATTCTTTCTAAATAGGATTTCTTTATCAAAGTCTTAAAATTTAAAATTAGAGATCAGTCCATGGAACAGAAGTATTTTAAATATCTTATATGACATTTGAGGGTTTTTTTTTGACCCTTCCCAGAATTTAAATCTGGGATTTTCCTTTTCATGTATTCTAAATTTAGATATGTATTTGATGTTCTCAGATTTCAAAGGAACTATTTTAAACTGTCAATAAATAAAATTTGTATCTAGTCACTATTGGCATTGTTTTGACTATGACAATGAATAACTAATCAGTAGAAATGTAGTGTTGAAAGGCTATAGGAAATGCATTTACTTACCCGTGGTAAACCTTTGCTACATATTTTCCTGGAATATAGTTTTCTCGACCTGTTGTAAGGGAATGGACTCTCCACCAGCCTCCTTCACTGTGTGAAAGCAAGAGAAGGGATATTTTCAGATGCAGTTTTAGAGTTTGTGTTTGTTGTAGAAATTAAGACATGCAGATTAGCCCATAACCTCCTGTCTGTGTTCTTGAATCTATGTATTCAGAAAGGGACCCAAGTTTGTTTCATTTAGAATAGTTCCATTTCTAAACCTACATCAGGATTAAATTTGGACACAGAAATAAGCCACATTTGTTCCATTTAAATTACGTAAGTAATAAAATATTTTTCTGTAGTTAAAAGAAGAAGGGTAAATACTCAGTGGTTAAACCATGCTGTGCTCTTCCTTCCCACAGCTAGACTTGTATTGGTATCCAAGATATTCAGCTTATGGCTGACTGTGCTGTGTCTGGACAGCCCTGTAGTTAATCCTGTAACATCAGAGTAGCAAATACTCAGCAAATGGACCCTGTCTGCCTGGGAATAGTTTTTCAGTCTAATGGAACCTGGTTCATGGTTTGCTCTTTTCCTTTTCTTCAGTGAGTTGCTGGTCAAACTTCAATAAAAAAGACCAAATAGCTGAACGTAGGTGACTAGACATGTTTTTGCACTGATATATCTTAGGTTCTTTCTGTGATACTGAATGCTGGCTCTGCCTTTTGAATCTCTTAAGAAGAGCAATGTGACAGAAGTTTTCACAGGGATGCTGAAGAGCTTTAGTGCAAGTATGCTTCAATGCAAGGATGTTGATGATTGATGGTTTCTCTCCATCTTTTCCTTTAAGAGTCTGAATCCTAATAATAGTGTATCTTCTGTTTGAATGCTGGTCTTGTGGATGTTCATATAAATGTCCCCAAATAATGCTTGGCCTGCAGACTGGAGTCTTAGCGTATGTCAAAACTGCTGATTTGAAAACACTTATGTTAAACCTCTTGGGTTATAGCTTCTGGGACCATGGTGCAGAATGTATATGATGAGGGAAAAGGGGAAGTGTCTGCTGCTCAGAGCTGGAAATTTTAGGGCCCCACAAGTTTTGTTTGGGGGTTTTCAGCTGACATGAAATTCTTTATAAGAAATTTGGGTTATTTTGTTATTTTTTTTTCCCCACAACCTTCCCAGACAGAATCAAGAAATGCAACAAAAAACTTGAGAGACTCAACATCTCCCTCTAAACTGTAATATTACTAACCCTGAAAAATCCCTGTGATGATCGAAATTCCCAAAGCAGCACAGCTCTCCTGAGCCAGAAGCCACAGAAACTATGTAGACTGGGGAGGATCACAGGAGAACATCTGGTTTGACTACTGCCAGCTAAATGCAGTTGTTCATCTGTTAAGGAGAGGTGTCTGACAAGCGTGGAGAGTGACAAGCTGTGTCAGTGATGCTTATCTAATCCTGCCAACCCAGAGCAGTTCACAAGTATCTGAGAGGAGCTCTATTTTCTTTGGGGGTTTCATATATCATGTTCCTGACAGGATTGGTGGGGCTGATTTTTGCTACACATAATTGCTTTGATAGAAGGCTGGAAAGATGCTGTTATAAAAGCAGGATGTGGTGCCTGCTCATGCTGGCTTCTCGGTGGTGATTCCTCAGCATTGACTCTGATCATGCCTGCCATACTCCTCTCCTATTGCATTTTGCTTCTTTCAAAGACTTGAGAAAAAGATTATACCTCCTGCACATAAGTGCAGCAAGAGTCTGCAGGCCCACAGTTCCTATAAACATCAGCACGTACCCCAGTAGGGAAGAACAGGTTATTCATTAAGACATTATTCTTTGCATACAGCATTGGACTGTCTTGTCTTCTGTGAACTTGCTGATTCAAAACAGGAAGAGGTAAGTTCCCATCAAGGTTTGCTTTGGCTCTTATTTACTATTGAGAGAAGCTCTTGATCACTGCACAACAGACAAATGTGACAAAAACTGTTGCTGAAGAAACCTAGTTCTTTTAAAAATTGTTTGTCCAGAAGATCATACTATGCAAGCATATGGTATTCTGCACATATAATTCCCATTGGTACAGATGTATTTAGGTACGTGGTGTTGTGAGGGCTCGTAGCTGATGACTGCTGGGAGTGAGGCTTTAAGCTGGAATTTCCAAGCTAAAGCAATAGTTGTACCATGTTGTATATGTTACGCAAACTGCAGCAAGGCTTAAACAGCTAGAAGTTACCAGAGGAGAATTCCCCTGGTTTAGGGAAGCTCTCCATCAGCAGAAAATTCATCTAGTAGTATTGTCTGAGCCTTGTGACCTCTAGGTTCAGGAAGGCAGGGAAAGCACTTTGTCAGCAGCACATAACTGCAGCCATTCTGGGTCAGACCAAAGGTCCATGTAGCCCCGTATCTCGTTGCTGACAAAGGCCGTTTGTAGGTCATGGTGGCCTGGAGAAGAGTCTGAGAATTCATCAATTGTCTGTGACACTTCTCTTGAGTATTTCTGTCCTCCAACCATTTGATACTCTGACTTCCTCAGGTAGAGAATTTTTTTTATTAATTTAGAAATCCTCAGATGATTTCTCTGCTACGAATGTGTCTGGTCTCTCCTTGAGTGCATCTGCTCCACCAGTTGCAAAAACTAAATCTTTCATTTATGTTTAAGCAGTGAAAACAGTGGCTGTGGGGCTGAGTAACTTCTAGGAGGCCACTGTGTGCTGATACAAGTTGTGCATAAGAGAATATCAGGGATGCTGTCTTCCATTTTTCAAGAAAAGTGCTCACTCTTGTGTGTGGTAATATTTGCACTATGCTTAAGATCAGTCTGAACTAGTGCTCTTAAACCTAGCTCCCTTTGGGGCTCATAAATTTTTGAATGGAACTAGCTGGGAAATCTTTGACATTTTTTTTTTTTTCCCCACTAAGAAAATGCAAAATCAATTAAAAAATATAAAAACAAAACAAAAAAAGTGCTATTTTTAATTTTACTTTTATTACAGTTGCCTTAAATCTAGAGTGAAGTTCTAAGACCTAATCATAAAGGATTTGTTAGATACAAAGGGTGAGAGAGAAAATGATAGACACAATTGACAAAGAAATTCAGTATAATTTTTGTTTTTCTATGTGATTAAAACTGGTTTTGCTCTTATTCTATTTTCCACTAACATGGGGGGAGATAATTTCTCAAACTCATTTTCAAAGCAGAATTCTGTTTTGATTCTTACTTTAGAATAGAGTCTGAATCCAGCTTGAGAAACCATGTCAGAGGAATCCAAGGATCAAAGAACATTCTGAAATCCCAGATCCTTAAACTGTATGGAAATTTACACCATGACTAAGCATCCTTTCTTGCAAATTCTGAACTTAGTTTATTTTGCTGAACTGCATCCAGTTTGGGCCAGGTGCATAAAACAGAGATTTGCATCAATTGTTAACAAAACCTAATTTAAAAAAAATGGATTAACTTACTCTGATAGCACACGTAGCTTTTCCCCTACATGAAATATAGGTTGGCTTATGTCTGCTGAAGGGTAGTCATAGAGGACAGCAAGGAAATCACTTTCCTGACCTGTTAAAGAAGGAAGAAAATGCCACTTAAAACCAAGTTAACGTTCTGAAGCAGAAATGGATTTTTCATTATGTATATTATATTTTACCATAATAAGTCAAATGGCAAAAAAATCTCACTCTGAAATGTTACTTGGTAAACATAGAGCTAAAGAGGAGCCTATAACTTTACAAGAAGAATGTGAAGATATTAGAAATGAAAAAAAGTCATTTGGTTAATTATAAGCAACTAAATTTAGACCAGTTTTTCTAGTAATTACCATATTTAAAGGACATATTCAGTTTGAAACTAGCAAAATTAGTAAGTATTTATAGTATTAGGAAGTAACTCAGTTTGATTAATGCCACTGTCTCTGAATTCCTCCAGCTACAATTATGAGCCAAGCTGATGCATTACATTTAAGGAAAGGGGCATGTTGAATTGTTCCATCATTTAACATTGATACTTTTCAAAGGTGCAAAATTAGTTTAGATCAAGGACAATAAGAGTATGGCCATTATTGCCCATTCCCCATTACATTTTAAAATTAGCTTGAGGAACATTCAGAGTACTTCATTCCCCCTTGTGTGGAAACTGTACTAGAGGTGCCCTTATCTTCAATTAAATAAAAGAGGCAACATGGATGTTTATAATTAAATCGTTGTACAACTTCAATTTGCAGAACTGAGGTCAGTAAAGAGATAAGAAGAACTTTTACATCAGTTGTAATGACTCTGGGCCTTGCAGCACTGTGTAGGACATGTGCTGAGTACCCTGGGTTTCTGAGGACGGAGGAGGCACTTTCCATGAGACTGGGACTATCAAGCATTCAAGAGCTCCTCATCCAGCAGGAATCTGTGGTGCCCAGTAAATGCAGACAGGTGGGAGATTCAGAAATGTGTCATGTTGTGTATTTTGAACTCTTTGGTAGAAGTCCTGGCAAGAGGGGTTGTGGAATACGCTGCCTGTGTTTCTCCTCAAAGTGGGTCCCTTCCGTCTGCACATCACAGTACCCTCCACCAGCACACGGGGAGACAAAGCTTTCCCCCTGCCCTCAGCAGGATCGGCGCCTCATTGCTTAGTAGAACCATCTAGCAGTATGTTTGATCTCCATACTTGCCCATTCCATGAAGCTCAACATGTGCAAAAATGGGAATGAATTCAGGGGAGGAGAGAAAGAAATTATCCAAAGAGAAAGACACACTTCTGTATCTTGTTAGATTTTCTTGCTTAATATAAATTCCTTGTCAACTTGTCTTTAAGGAAGACAGTTTTTTTAGAGAAACCTAGAAACAGCATCCTGAATGAGTGCTGAGCCTGGCTCTGTGTTTTCAGCCTCTGTGTCCTAGGGCCTTACAAATACTCAGAGTGATAACAGTGAAAGGCTGAAGGAAACATGCAGGTCTGCTGAAAAGAAGTATTTTCAATAGAAAATATTTTACATTTTTTATCCTTACAGCAATGATAACGAGAATTTAAGTGTTAAGGAAAATATTCCACATCTGTAGTTTGAAGGAAATAAAAAGCCGTGTTTTCTCAGTTGATTTTGTGTAGCTGTTTGTTGTTACGTTATAGGTACTTGTGTTATGAAAAGTACTGGGGTCAATTTACCTTAGTATTCAAACTGACTGTAAGCATTTTCAGTCTTGCTAGCCTTTGCCCATTGAAGTAGCCCCACAATACTGTTAGGGAGCATTTTATGAATGCATAGATGTGTAAAGTCTGGAATAGACATTAATTAGTTTGATAGTGTGTTTAGTATTAGTTTTGCCATGGTTTTCTTAGTTGACTAATATCACTGAATTAAACACGACTAGTCCAGTACCTTTATATTAATCAGCCAACTACCATGAGTAGTCTACTGTAACTTATTATACAATTAGTTCAACTATACTGAAGAAATTCTGTGCTAAGCATGCCTTTGATTGCTTCAACGTTCTGCACTAAAAATTAAGGCACCTTCTCTGTCTGTGAAACTGATTAGTACCTGAGACTAACAAGACTTAAGTATTGGTTCTGAGTCTTTCTCAACAAAGCAAAATCTTTACCCAGGGCTGCAAGAAATATATGCCAGAAGATATGTTGTAAGAACTGCAGAATGAGGATGAAGTGCCATCACCTAATTTCTCATTGCAGATTGTTAGGCAGCAGTTCTACACAGAATGTAATTTTGTTTTTAGCTTAATGACAATATCTTTAACAATGCTTTTTTTTTAAAACTTAAACTGTTTACTTATAAATGTTTTATTTTCATACTGAGAGGGTGAAAAACAAGTGCTTTTCTTCTCTCCTTCCTTGCATACCAGTGGTTTGCATTTCGTTATGCACTGCAGGGCACATGACTTTTTCTTGACCCTGGCAAGATCTGTGTTACTTTGCTTACACTTTCATCTTTATATTCGTTTTTGTTTCAATTTTACATGTTAATTTGTAGTTCTGAAAATGAAGGAATTAATCATAGTGTTGGCTGCCATATCCATGCAAATGTTACCTTTTCAACTACATGTACTTTTATTAGAATAAAAGTAAAGGAGTATTGTACCACCCAAAACCTTTCAACCCTCCTACTCCACAAGTACGACCTCATTTTAATTGCTATTTAAATCAAACCTCACTGGATTTTTTGGTCATGTAAAATACCCCACCACACTCTACAACATTTCACAGAACCCGTACTATCTCATTTCAACACAAAAGCCTTGAAACAGGGACTAAACAAATCACACTATTTCCCCACACTTAAATTTCATAGTGATCTAATAGATTTGATCTGATGAGCTCCCCACACTTTTAAGTTGTAAAATAAAAAAGATTTGCCTGAGGTTTTCTAACACAACCTCTCCTCCACAGTGCAAGTGTAGGTTACATTTGAAATGGAACAACTCAAAAGTTAGAGTGGAAAGATCAAAGCACAGTCATTTCCACTGAATCAGGTGTTAATTCTGGTTTGTTGTTTTTTTTTTTTTTTTTTTTGTTTTTTTTTTTTTTGTTTTTTTTTTATTTTAGGAGCCTGAAATTAATATGAAATACATGCTAGTTTTAGATGTCTGCATCCCTGGATGTCTTGCAAAGTGTGAGACTGAATATTGCACACTTCAAATTATTCATTGTGAATGAACTACAAAACACTAATAGAGGGAAGGGAGAGCACAAGCAGAGCATCCAGATCCAGCTCATCTCCCACCTTTCTTGTCTAGCAGAAATTCTATGATTTATAGCCTGGCGTATACCAGAAAGGGTGTGGGGGGGCATTCATATGTGTCTGGGAGGCTGTCTGTGCAGCAGCCCTAAGGTGTGGCTGCATAGTTGCTCTGGCATACCCAAATTAGATCTAAACCAGCCAGCTTGGGAACTGAGAGTTATGCAGGTGCAGCTCAGTAAGGATTAACTCTTGATTCAGAGTCCCAAGGGAGGAAAGAGGAAGGGGTGGGTTCACAATCCCTGATGACCCCTTGCTGCTGTAGCTACTTCGTTATTAGTACCTAGGTTATGACAGGGATGCCCAAACAGCATGATTTGAGGTGGAGTGTAGTCATATTTGGAGTCCAAATGCCTCCTTGAGAAGTGCACCTTATGCACTGTTCCCTTCCTCAGGACTAAGACTGATGCACTGGAGGTGAGAAAAGCCCAAGATTTTGCTTTCAGTGCAGCTCTCAGGCAGCACGAGGGGCTTATACACATTCATACTGTGGATCAAGTCTTCAGACTCCAATTATCTGTCTTCTTCCCCCTTCTTTTTGGGTATTCTATCCTTTCTTTCTTTCTCTTCTGTTTCAGTCCTTCATTTTATTTAGTCTCACTGAAATGAGCCAGTGTAAAACCTGCCTTTCCTAATAACTATTTGGATTACTGTAAGTCCATGAATTGGATCCTCCACCTCACTTAAATCAAAGGTGGATGTTCATGGCCTCGGGGAAATTTTATGTGTTTGGTGATGTGATTTGGAGTTTGATCTGCTCAGGAAGGCAAATAGATACAAACTCGCTGGACTAACCCCAAAATATGCTTTTAGTACCAAGTTCCTTTTCAAAAGTCTGTTTTCATTGGATTTGGATGTCAGTACTGATGTTTGTATTCCCAACTCTAATTAGCTACATCTAAGCCATTATGAAAGATGCTGGTCTGATCCAGACTAAGAGTTAGATCGAAAGAGCTATGCAAGCTGTTAAATCATAGAATCATAACATGGATTGGGTTGGAAGGGACCTGTAAAACTCATCTAGTCCAACCTCCCTGCAATGAGCAGGGACATCTTCATCTAGATCAGGTTGCTCAGAGCCCAGTCCAACCTGACCTTGAATGTTTCCAGGGATGGGATATCTACCACCTTCCTGGGCAACCTGTTCCAGTGTTTCACCATCTTCATCATAAAAAATTTCTTCCTTACATCTAGTTTGAATCTACCCTCTTTTAGTTTAAAACCATTGCCTCTTGTCCAATTGCTACAGGCCATACTAAAAAGTCTGTCCCTGTCTTTCTTATAAGTCCTCTTTAAATACTGAAAGACTACAATAAGGTCTCCACGAAGCCTTCTGTCCCTTAGGCTGAACAATCCCAATTTTCTCAGTCTTTCCTCATAGAAGAGGTGTTCCATCCCTGTGATAATTTTTGTGGCCAAAAAGCTCCCTTTGGGTGCTTGAACATAGGTATCCAGTGCAATTTAAACTATGTGAGTGTCTGAGACATCCTTATGGTCTTGACAAATGACACTGCAGCTATGGGAGACTTGTTCCATCCCCAAATGGCAGCAGAACGTCGGACAGGATCTCACAAAACACCTTTCTAGATGTGCTAGACATGTAGGAGAGTGCAAGTAGATCAAGCCCTGAATTCCTAAATGAGTAATTTCCCCTTGTAATTGCTGCGCTATCAATGTTTGCTGAGTTATCTTTTAGAGGTATGTTCTGGTTTTGTCACCAGAAGGGATACAGTTGGCTTTGGCCCTGATAAATCATGACTTTTAACACATGTAAAAGCAATACAAACTGGGTCACAACTATGACAGCAACCCCACCCTCTCCTGCTCATCTGCGAGGTCGTGCTCTTAGTGCATGCATGTCTCTGTTTTGATGGTTATGGTATTTGTGACCACAGTTGTTAGGAATGTCAACATAAGGCACTCTACAACAACAAAAAAATAATGTTATGAGCCTCTGAGTAACAATTAACAGGATTTTGTCTCTGCTTTATTAGGACCTAGGGCTACATGGCTGCCTGTATCAGCTAGTTCTTGGCCATGCTAAAAGCAGGGCTGGGTTTCCTTACAGCACTAATGAAACCAGATTGATTCCCTATCCTTATAATAATGAGCAGTCCAACTAGACCATCTTTCATTCAAAACCCCAAAATTTTGATTAATGCCTTCCCCCTCTAAAATAACAACCCACAGATCAAAACCCAAACCAAAAAACAACTAAAATTGTTTTCTCTTCCTCACCTTTGGGGAGTGATTTATCACATCTCTTGTACCAGCTGTTTGTTGTATTGTGGCATGAGAGCTGAGGCTGTAGTGACTCTCCTCCTACTTGCTTGCAGTTTGGGAGTAGCAGGTCACTGAATCGCTCTTGCTTTTCCCCTCAGATGCCTGACCTCTACCAGCCTATGGGAGGGGCTTTGCAACCTGATTTTTTCACGTGTGGATGCATAGGGCAACTGTGTTAGATCCCACTTTGGCAGCTTGGCCTGTGAAATATGTATTTCTGTATAATCCTTATTGATAAACCTGTTGACAAGTTGGCTGATGCTTTTAATGCAACTGTCTAACAGTGGACTTCAGGCTCAGTGAAAACATATTAGGGTTTTTAACCTTAAATGAAGTGAAACCAAATTTCAAGAACAAATTTGTATAAAATATCACATGCAAGTATAAGAAAATACAGTATTTCTGACTTCTGAAGTAGTGCTTCAGTGCTGTCTGAATTAGAAGGAATGTCTTTCAAGGAGCACCAGCAAATTATAGTTTTAACATATGTTTTTTTTTTTTTTTTTTTAATTCAACTACTTCTTGGAAAATGAGCTAGAGCGTACCTAAAAATAAGCAGTCTAGAGGATACCCTCCTTCTCCCATAGCAGTCACGCTCTCACCTGCTTTTACTATGTCAATCGGAGGAAGGAAGACATATGGATGAATGTACCATATATTTTGAAAATCTTTTTCTCTTGAAAGAAATTAAATGAGTGCTTACCCGTTTGGCTTGGCACATTTGCTTCTTCAGAGGCTCTCAGCGTTTTCACAGTATTTCCCATTGCACTCCCTAATTCTGTCAAAACTCTTCGGAACTAAATCAAAGGAGACATTGAAATTAAACATCAGAATAGCACCTGCTGTGCTAACAGATGAGAAATGACCTAGTTTGGGTGTCTCCAATTTAGTGCAGTTTTGCTTTTGAGAACTCTTGTGTCAAATTCATGCGAGAGTTTTACATACTTGCTAAACTCTCACCACTTTGGTGCTTTTATCAGGGGAATAGCAGAAAACCACAACTAGGGAAGTTGCTCAGAAGAACGCAGTGTAGTAAAAGTTTCCATTACCAGTAGCTCAGCACAATAGGAAGTCACAGCAAAGCCATGCCTATACAGTCACTTCATATACAAAATGTTCTTTTCAGCATTTGGAGATCTGAAGCTACAAAGAAATTAATTAGATTGCTGTATCTGTTTTTCAGCTCTGTGTGTTTATTATGTCGCTTTATTGCTGAACACTAAGAACATTGTTCAGCGGGGTTATTTTCTGATGCAGATGTGCTCTCAATGAATGTGGACAATGCCGATTTTCCTCTTTTTTCTTTTTTTTTTTTTTTAAGTAAAATGCTTCAAAATGTTTGATCTCAAAACACTCCTCCTGCATAAAGCCAGTGGTTCAAATTCTCCAGATATTTTTCTTAAAAAGTCTTTGTGGATGTACAAGAAACAGTATCAGACAATTGCGGAACTAATTATTGTAAGAGGGACAGTTCTTTCTCATGGCTTTACTGCGCCCATCCTAATTCTCCCTGACAGAGGACAGAGAGAAAAACCCTTTGGATGTGTAAGGTGTCTCATGCTATGTTATATTTTCAGAGGCAAAGGAGAATAAGCTCTGGGTTTGAAATTGTACATTAAAGCAAAATAACTCAACACCACTAGCTGATAGGTAATTATTTTTTAAAAATATATTCCTGCCAGTTGCCCTGTGAAAATGATAACAGGAACTCTAGCAGCATAGTGTGTGTTTATTCTACATTTTTCAGTCTTTTCTAGCTTAAATATTTCAAAGGTGACTACTACCTTTGGTATTCTGCTCTTATAACAGACTAGAGCCTGATGATGTTAGCTGGAGCAGTGTCTAACTTGACAAGCAGTACTGCTGAAATCAGTAGGACTTTATTGTTAATTGTCCTTTGGAATCAGATTGATAGAATTTAGTATATTGTTTAATACCATAAATTTTTTATGTTTTACAACTGGGTTTAGGAAGACATCCTACAGAATAAAATGCTGTTCAAAAGAAAGAGAATTCACCTCTTATCAAATACAGGCAGATCTGTTCTAAAACAGATGGTAATGCAGTTTGACTCTACCTCATCTGATTTTCAAGCTTAGTGCTTGTTTGCAAAGGCTCTTTGCTAGAAGCCTCTATTTCACTGGCCAAATGGCACATTACTCTTTCACTGCCTGCACTCAGGAACTACTTGTGTCACATCTGTAGGATGCAGCTGTACCAGTGTCTTTCTGACACGTGCCTGAAATCTGCTTTCACAGGAACAAAAACCGGTTTAATTGCCTGATATAAGAAGTCTAGAAGCTGAATAAAAAAGTAGGCCTAAATTTAAATAAACTACCTGGGTATTCATGTTTGAATAAAAGGGTATCTCTTGATAGGAAACACAGAATCATTCTCCATTTAAATGCACCTAAGTTTCTAAAACTGAAATCAGAATTCATTTTGGCAGGCACTGTCTACTTACAAGATTATAATTTCCTGAACTAATTAAGAATATTTTAATTTCTTCTATGCTTTTCTCAGTTGTGTCCCATCAAAAATAAGGGTATATGCATAGGAATAGTGCAGCCAGTACTTTAGCTACAGATATTAGAGATGTTCCTGGCTCATCTTCAAATTAGCAAGCAAAATTTCCTGGGCGTGTCAATAGAAAGCTCAACAGGGCTGAAAAAGTCAGCAGGAGAAGTAGGATAAATACCTGGACAGCTAAACTCTGCTGAGAACTGTGCTGTAGTAGCTGCATTTTTGCAGTATTTGAAAAGGGCAGTTCAAATCTGGCTAAGTGTATAGTAAGTAAGCTGCAGCTATCAAAAATTTTGTGCAATTCCAGATAGCTGCCAAACATGGCAGAATAAATATCTTACGCCCATCTATAATTCTACACACATGCAGTTGTTACTTAGATGAGAATAGTACTTGAATTTTGTGTCAAAAAAATAAGAAAAAATAAAAATAATAGGGTCCTACCTCTGTGTACACCTTTATTCTGGTTCTTGGTATTTGAGGGCCAGGAGAGCAAGTCATCCTACTAGTGAGGAGACTTGTGACAGAGTGCTTTCAAGGGCTTTTTTCCTACTCTTAAGATACAGTGGATACTATTTTCAGGTATACCTGAGTCACTCTGGAAAGTGATACATAGCATTTGTACGTGATGGAAAGACTTCAGAAAACTTTACCTCACACTTACAAACTTTCTAAAAGTACGGCACATTTGAGTAAGGCACCTTCATTTTCCTAGATCGTATTTAGGTGTTTAAACTCTAAATGTTGCTTTAAAAATATCTGAAGTGTTTTTGAAGGTTTGCTTATATACAGTGTTTAATTAAACAACTTGCTGTCTAGTCTGAATAGATCAAGTACCAGACAACATGCATGTGCCTAGTTCGTATTTTTGCAGAGCACATCCAAAGGTTGCCTGGCTCACTTCTGTCATACGAATCATCGTTCTTCTCAAAGGATCTCTGAAGTCAACAGGACAGACCATGCAGCTCAGTACTGCTACTTTAGACGTGGAAGAATCTGACTTATGGAAAATACAAATGTTATAAAGTACTTACAGGAACAGTGAAGAGCAATAATGTTTTGGACTTTGATGTCACTAGCGTGACAGTTTGCTTTGTCTCATTACATTTTCCATGCCATTTTGCTGTCACTAATTACCGTTGGTGACTGCGTGAAGTCTTGAAAGGAACAGAGAGTTCAAGATGTTCTCTAGATTTATGGCAGAAGTGTTCAATAAAAACAAGCAAATGGAAAGCTGAGACCATTGCTGTTGATTTACTTATCCAAATTGATTAGAAGGAAAATGAGAGTTATCACACTCGGTTTTACCACTAAAGCCACTTGTCATTATGCATTTGGGCAGAGTAAAGGTGCCTATAGTCCAGTCAAAGGTGGTAAAGTGAACTCCCTGAGGTATGGCTCAACTCTCATACATTTGAAAATGAGATGGAAGTGGAAGAAAATGGAATTTTTGTTTCAAACAGGATGGAGCAGGAGCAAAATGTTGTTTCTACTTGCTCACTGGCAATGACATGTCACTATTTTTAGAGTAACAGTGTATGAATTAGTATCCTAAGTATTTCTAAAACAACAGTGCACTTGACTTTCAAGTGCATGATAGAACTTAATGGCTTAAATAGCTTGTGCTTGTGTTGAGTATTGGCAGCACAAATCAAACCCATTTTTTCGCTGTATGATATACTCTATGGTGTTTTTCTGAAAATTTTAGATACTCTGCAAAAATAGACCTACAGGAACCTGTAGAGCCTCCTGTGGATGAGCCAATTTTTTATCATTTAAGTCAATAGTGGAACAATATCATTTTTATAGATCACATTCTTTTGAAATGGTGAATCTGCTCCAGGTATTGGACCTCACTTAAACTTGGTGACAGAGTTTGGGATACAAGTAGATGTGGCATCACTCTGTCACAGAGTATATAGTTATGCCAGACCCAAAGAAAACCATTCACTGAGGGTTATTTTAGAGGAATTAAGGATAGGTGATAGACTCTAAGCTCACCTTGTCTTATCAACACGAAACTTTGCATGGAGGAGTGCAGCTGCTGTTCAGCTCAGAGGAACCGCTGGGCTACAAACCAAACTCTACCTGCAGCTTTCCCCTCTCACACACCACCTCCTCAAGCTTGTGTGGAAATTTGATTTTAACCATTAAGATCACATTTGCAGTCTCCCAAGCTTTGGTCCTTCCTCCCCTCCCCTTTCCACTTGTGCACATGCTGTTTAAGGAAACCTGGTCACTGCAGCCGTAGCTGTTTTCAAACACACAGCTAGTGAGGTTTAGTGATCTTTACTGATCTTTACTGATATTTACCACTTTATTTTTGCTGTCAAAAGGGAGGTCAGAAAACATCTACATCCACAGTCCTGCTTTGTGTCCTATTTATCAGTGGCAGAGCTCTCAGCAGATACGAAATCTTCACCTCTCAAGACTGGGATCTCACTGACCTACGTTGTGGGTCCCAAAAACCTGTGGTAAAATTTACACTTTCCATTCCTGTGTGCAGCATTATGTAGCAATAATTTCCCAGAATCTGTTATCTGAGAAAACGTGCTTATGGATCAGTGAAATAACACGGCACATAGGTAAGTCTGTTGCTTTGTAAGAACTTTTTCAAAGTTGTATTTAAAATGATTGAGAATTAGGAAATATAAAGAAATTAAAATAATAAGAGGCGAGATAAGCACCTGAGTAAAGTCCCTCTACAAGGAATACTGCAGACTAGTCAAATTAGGACATTCAACATTCCTGAGATGCTATACCTTATTTTTTTCTTGTTACCTGATATTCACATCTGTACTACCAATGTCTTAGAATTTAATTCTCAGTAAGGTTCACAGGTAATGTCTGAATCCCATTTAGCTTGAAAATGAAAGCACCAACATCATGTTATTTTTCATGTGGGGAGAAAAAAAGGCAATTTAGATTCAGACACTGTATGTTTTTTGGTGAATTTCTCTTAATTTGTCATTAATCAAAATGAACATCCTTTCAGCTTTGAGGCACTTGTACTTTTGCACTTAGAGAGAACAATGTAATGCTGTAATCAAGGTAATTCACAGAAATATGCAACTATGAAACAACACAGAAATACCACATTATACAAACTTCTAACACTTTGAATAAAAATCCCACTAATCTGTGGGCTCATATTCTGGGTTAGATTGAAATGCAGTTTATTTCAGCATAAGATCCTATGCATTTATCTTACTGTAGGCTTTCAGTAGAAATACTCCTTGTCCCTTCTATCTTTAGTACCACTTCTTATGAAAAGGATCAATGCAAGCTTTTCTAATTCTGCCTTCGGTGGTACTTGAAATCCATAACCTGAATACTGTCATTATTGATGAAATAGAACTCCCTTCTATGTAAATGAAATTGAAACATTTAGTCCTGTATGCAGATAATCTAAAATGTATCAGAGCAATGTTTACCTTTAAATGCTAGGCATGATATTCCAGGTTGCAGTATTTCTCAAGAAAGCCGTAGTTATAATACTGCTCTCATGCTGCCAGCAAGGTTTAGCTGATCAAGTCGAGGAGCAGCCGGTTGAATGAGTGTGTTGTGAAGTTCACGCTGTCATGTAGAGCAGCATTTGCCAAACAGGCCACATACTTCCTCTCTGAGAAATAAGGAAGGCTCAAAGTGTTTGCAACAGATGAGGTTCCTGTTGCAAGTCACTACTCAAGACACTTTTTATCTATGGGTTGAAAAAAATTGAGAGGTTTTCAACATATTGCATCAGGGCTGGTTTTAGCAGATATAGAAAATGAGTTTTACATTATTTAC